AAGACAGATCACAAGTACTAGCAAGCTGGAGCATCCATATAAAAATGAGAACAGTAATTTTCTTTGAAAGAATTTATAATGTTCCCCCTAAGGACATCTTCTTTTAGGACAAATTTTTTCTTCCTAAAGATTTATTTATTTATACATACAAGAACTGGGGTATAGGCCAGAGGTGCGGGGGTGGTGAGAGGATTCCCCAGAGAGAGTGGGAACAGAACAGGCAAATCTACTGAAATACACTGCTCAGGGGAGCAGCAGGAGAGTCCGGAGAGTTCTGCTGGGCCATGTGGGTTGCTCCCTGGCCTGCTGGGGGATCAAACTCATGCACAGTGCCTGGGGATAACTTGATAGTGCTGTCTTTAACCCTTGGGCCACCAGGGAGGCCCTAGACAAAAATTTCTTGAATTCACAATTTGGTACTGCTTTAATTTTGAGTTATATATAAGGGGAATACATTATTTAAATTTATAATTTAAATAATTTAACTTATAATTTAAATAATATATGGCAGTGGAGCACTATAAAGTTTTTTAATAGATTTTATTTTTTCAAAGATGTAGGCTCAAAGCAAAATTGAGATGAAGTTACAGAGAGTTCTCATTACTCCCTACCACTGAGAACATATACAACCTTAACCATTATCAATATTCCACACAAAAAAGACATACTGTAATAAATTGATGCACCAGCATGGACCAATCAGTATCACCCAAAGCCCATAATTTACATTGATGTTTACTCTTGGTGCTATACACTCTATGGATTTGGACAAATGAGTATTAACATGTATATACCATTAGACTCCATGCAGAAGCGTCTCTCTGTCCTAAAAATCCTCTGTGCTCTGCCTATTTGTCCTCCCTCTCCTCTAACCAGTTGCAATCACTGCTCCTTTTACTCTGTACTTAGATTTGCCTTTTTCAAAATGTCATATAGTTGGAATCATATGGTATGGAACATTTTATGATTGGTTTCTTTTACTTAATAATATAAATTTGTTTCCCCCAAGTCTTTTGTGGCCTGACAGCAAATTTTTTTTTAGCATTGAATAATATCCTATTGTCCTGATGTACCAAAATTTATCCACTCACCTACTAATGGATTTCTTGGTTGCTTCAAAGTTTTTGGCAATTATGAGCAAAACTTTTATAAACATTAATATACAGGATTTTGTGTGAACATAAGTTTTCAGCTCCTTTTGGTAAATACCAATGAATGTGATTGCCGGATCATATGGTAAGAGTATGTTCAGTTTTGTAAGGAACTGCCAATTTGTCTTCCAAGGCAACTAGCAATTAATGAGATTTCAGTCTGCATCCTCACAGGCCTTTGGCATTGTCAGTGTTGTAGATTTCTGTCATTTTAATCGTTAGGTACTGGTTTCTCATTGTTGTTTTCATTTATAATTTCTAACCATGATGTGGAACATCTTCTCATATGCATATTTGTCACTTATATGTCTTCTTTGGTGAAGTGTGTTAAGGTTTTTTCTCATGTTTAATTGGGTTATGTGTTTCCTTGTTGCTGAATTTTAAAAGTTTTTTAAAAATATATTTTCAGACATTTATCAGATGTGACTTTTGTAAATATCTTCTGCCAGCCTTTGACTTTTCTTCTCATTTCTTGACACTACAAACTTTTTAACTCTTAAAGCCTCCAAGATAATAGGTCCAACACTTTTCCACTTTATCTCAGACTAGGAAACTGCAAGGATTATGTCCTTATCGTTGATGCCTGCCTGTCAATCCCCAAATTCCAAAAGTGTTAGCAAGAAAAATTACCTGGAATTTAGATCCTACGCCAATATCTACCAACATGTAATAACCCACACAGACAAGCATGGCCATTTTATCTCGACTGTCCTTAGGAAAAAGCCTTGGGAATACATGTGAGCAGACTGCTGACTGTCAGCTCACAGTCCTGCTCTATAATTACCATCACATCGTATGAGGGACTAATCTGAGCCTTAGTTCTGACAGTGACTATCTCCAGAACTACAGGTTAGGAGATATTGAAGATCAGATCTGTTTGGCAAATAAGCATTCATTATTTTTTTCATGCTAATGTTTATCAGGTGATCACTATATTTACAACACAAATGAATACAAAGATATATACATTTCTGAAGCTAATTATAATCTTGTATGAGTTATATGACATGTATGTAAATATAACTTGCCTTTCTGGTGAGAGAGGCAATAAATGCAGAGAATCACCATGGTTTATTGTATCCATAAAACATAGATTAGGGAAAAAACTTCAAGATCATCTCATCTAATTTTCCTCCCTATATGAGAATCAGAAAAATTTAGGTAGGAATTCAGACTCCAAATTAACCAGCTTTGTGATTAAATGCAAGTTATCTGAAAGACTTTGTCTTCTCTTCTGTAAAATGAGTGCACATTCTGGCTAGACATGGCTGATAGAATATGCATTTGTCTCCACTCTCACCTGAAGCTCTTCAAAAATTACAGAAAAAAAAATTCTAACCATAAGCAACAAAACAATAGGAGGAAAGAAAAATATCATGAGCAAAAGTTTTTACAAGGGATAGATTAATTCTTTCAGGGGCTAAGCCTAGAACACAGTCAATTCACAACACATAACCATAGAGAGGTTCTTTTTTTTTTTTTTTTTAAGATTTATTTATTTATACAAGCACTGGGTGCAGTCAGAAGCGCGGGAGGGTGAGAGAATTCACCAGAGCCAGAGCGGGGAGCAGAGCAGGCAGAAGGACCGAAGTACACTGCTGTGGGGAGCAGCGGGCGGCAGGAGAGGTCTGCGCGCCATGTGGGACCCTCCTCCGGTGGCCGGGGAGCAGCCGGCAATCGAACCGGCGCTGCAGAGGCAGCGGGCAGCTTCGCAACCCAGCGCTCAACCGCTGCGCCACCGGGGAGGCCCTAGAGAGGTTCTTTTTTACTTTTGTAGTCACAAAAGAAAAACAGTGATGCATGTTTGATAATGAGGGGCTGGACTGGGACCTTGGGAAACATAACAGGAGGGATAAGGACTGGACCCCAGAAGACATAACAAGAGAGAAAAGTTAATAACAAGAAAAAAGCCCATGTCACTATCACTGGTTAATCTATGTTAGGACATTGGCCAAGGTTGACCAATCAAGAAACTGCACAATCACCACAGCTCATCCCCGACACCCAAAACAAGAGCATAACTACAAAAACGCCGAAGTTGTTTTCACCAGCAGCAACCCACTGGAGACCATTCCCTTGTCCACAAGAGGGAAATGTTTTTGCTTTTTATCTCTCTTTGCATGTATCTTCTCAGGCTGGCTCACTGCTCCAGCAGTTAGTTAGCATGTTTCTTTAACCCTGGTGGCTTTGCTGCAGGAGCTGGCCTCTGTCCTTAAAATAAAATTCCCTTTGCTTGCTTGCTGTTTGTGTGTGGTGTTTCAATTCTTTGTTACACTTGCTGCAGTTTGGTTCAGTGTTTCACCTCCCATCACATATTTGGGGGTTCATCTATAACAGCCTCTGCAACAATAACTTTGAAATGGATGGAAGGGCAGTTAGCTAAGGAATGCTGTTGGTATCTAGAAGTTAGAGAAGGAAAAGAAATCTGCTCTAGGGCATCCAGGAAAGCACATAGCTGACACCTTGACCCAATGAGGCTCATGTGAGACTTTCATCCTACAAAGCCATAAGAGAGTCTTTCTTGTTTAAGCCACCAAAAATTGAGTATAATAAAAGAACATTGTTCAGAAATACAGACTAAATTCCAGAAGAAATAGTAGAAAAAAAAAAATGAACATAGCTCCTCTGGGGAGGGGGAACTGGTAATAGGGGAGAATAGGTAAGGATCATCACATTTTTGCTTTAAGTCTTACAAGCATGTAAACTTTAAAATTATGTTGGGGGTCTCCCTAGTGCCTCAGGGGTTAAAGACAGTGCTATCAAGCTATTGCCAACCACTGCAGCAGGATTTCGGTCTCAACTGGCCAGGGAGCTTCCCACAAGGCGCAGCAGACCTCTCCTGCTTCCCACACTGCTCCCCTCAGCAGTGTATTTCAGTAGATCTGCCTGTTCTGCTCCCTGCTCTTTCTCTGGTGAATCCTCTCACCCCCCTGCACCTCTGGCTTACACCCCCGTTCTTGTATGCATAAATAAATAAATCTTAAAATAAAATGAAATGATGTTGCAGCATTATGGTAAAAATATATTACTAAAAAATAGTTAAACTTCCCAGAATATTTTCATAGAGTCAACTTGGTCAATCACAGGTGATAGGAATGATGCTCTGAACAATTGAACTAATCAGTTTCTGTTTAGTCATCCTGTAACAAAGACTGCTCTTTGTCACACTGTTACATTCTGTATTTTTTTATATCTTAGAACTAATTTAAATATTCCATTTTATATGCTTGATGTGTATTTTGTATCATCTTTGTGAAACCATAAATGTATTTATGAGTTAAAACTATTTCTTTTGCAGTTTTATCATCTCACTAGTGGGACATCCTATATTCTCGTTTGTGCCATGTTGAGCGAGTTATGATCACAACCACCATGTGGTCTTTGGGAATAAATTTCTGAAGATTTTCATTAAAAGAAATGTGTGTTTAGGGTAAGACCTCAACTCATGGATGCGTTTCTTTCTATAGGAACGCCAACAAAGTATCCATAATTAAAATGGATTTATTTCTATTATTCTATAATTTTTATTATTGAAATAATTTGCTTTTGGGAAGTGAAAGAAGCCATTCCAGAATTATAAATTCTAAATTCAGAAATGTAGTTATTTCTGTAAGGTCTGGAGGAGGAAGAAGGGACATGCAGGAGACGCCAATGTACAGACTATACAGCTATTCACTTGCCATAATTTTAATATGGTCTAAAATATTTTAACCATATCAAACATTATCTTTTTATTTTTAAATATAATTTCTTGTGTTACTGTTTATTGAGGCAACAATGTATGTGTTTTGAAGGTATAAATTCATACCCTTTGTCGCGCAACCAGCCCACACCGGGTAGGTTCATTACCGTTTCCAGCAGCCATGTTGGTGTCGTCACGCTCTCCGCCTTTAGTCGTCGCCGTGCTCCGTCGCGCTTTGCCGCTCCACTCCACTCCTCCGGCCTCGGCACCGGCACCGCACCATACTGCACTGCGCTGCGCCACGCCACGCCACGCACGCCACGCCACACGGCATGCCACGCCACACGGCATGCCACGCCCTTTGGCCAAGTGCACATGCGCTGTGGGAGGGCAGGAAAGCCTGAAGCTTTTCCCCCCTACTTACCCCACACCCCTTCAGATGCATATTGTCATTCCACACCAACCACCTAAGCACCCACAACCCTCCACCAGTCAGTCCATTGTGGTTCCCCCCTCTTTCTCCCCCAACACCCCCTCTGCTAACCTCAATTCCATGGTAGGATTTCTAGGGTTTGATTTAATTGTGTCTATTCCTTTGTTTTGATGTTCCATATATGAGTATAATCATCCAGTATTTTTCTTTCTCCAGCTTATTTCACTTAGTGTAATCCCCTCCAGTTCCATCACTTCCATCCATGTTGTTGCAAATGGCATGATTTCATTTTTTTGTGGTAGTTGAACAGTATTTCATTGTGTGAATTTACCATAAATTCTTTATTCATCCATCAGTCCTTGGGAACATAGTCTACTTCCACAACTCAGCTATTATAAATAGTGCTGCAATTAGCATAGGGATTCATCTATCTCTTTGAGTTAGTGTTTTCGCATTTTGGGAAATAGATACTTAGGATTGGAATTGCCAGACCATATGGAAGATATATTTTACTTTTTTGAGAAACCTCCATACTGTTTTCCATAAGGGCTGAACCAGTGTACAGTCCCACCAATAGTATATGAGGGTTTCTTTTTCTCCTCATCAATATTGTTGTTTCTGATATTTTGTTATGGGCCACTCTCACAGGTGTGAGGTGGGTGATATCTTGCCAAAGCAATCCAGGCCAAAAAGAACAGAGGAATTACACTACTAGACTTCAGACTATACCACAAAGCTATAGTAATAAAAACAGTATGGTAATTGAATAAAATAGACAAGTAGACCACTGGAATACAATTAAACACCCAGAAATAAACCCATGCTTATACAAACAAGTAATCTTTGACCAAAGAGCCAAGAGTATACACTGGAAAAATGAAAGTCCCTTCAATAAATGACACTGGGAAAAGTGGACAACCAAATGCAGAAAAATTAAACTAGACCACTGTTTCACACCATACACAAAAATTAACTCAAAATGTATTAAATACATGAATGTAAGACCTTAACTCATAAAGTACATAGACAAAACAGTCCACAACATTGGCTTCAAGGATGTTTTGGGGGACTTGACTCCAAAGACACGGTAAACAAAAGCAAAATAAACAAACGGCATTATATCAAACTAAAAGCTTCGGCACAGTGGAATAAATATCATTAAAATAAATTATCAGTAAAATAAAAGATATCTACTGAGAGTGAGAAAATATTTGTACATCATACATTCTACAAAGGATTGATTACCAAAATTTACACAAAATCTACAAAGAACTCATACAACTTAGCAAAAAGAAAGCAAATAACCTAATCAAAAAATGGGCAGGGCCTCCCCGGTGGCGCAGGGTTAAGCGCTGGGTTGTGAAGCTGCCCGCAGCCTCTGCAGCACCAGTTCGATCCCCGGCCGGGGCGAGGGTCCCACATGGCACGCAGACCTCTCCTGCCGCGCCTGCTGCTCCCCTCAGCAGTGTACTTCGTCAGTCTGCCTGCTCCGTTCTCCCCTCTGGCTCTGGTGAATTCTCTCACCCTCCTGCGCTTCTGACTGTACCCAGTGCTTGTATAAACAAATAAATAAATCTTTAAAAAAAATATGGGCAGGAGAACAAAATAGACACTTCTCCAATTAAGACATACAGATGACAGACACAGGGGAAGAATGTGGAGGAGTGAGGGTGCCTAGTGGTGGGTGTGGTGTGGTAAAATATACCTAAAGAGGTGTAAACCTACAGTGTTGTGAAACAATGTTATCTCAGTAGAAAACAAAACATTGATTTTTGTTCTCATTCAGTGAAAATACAAAAATATGAGATAGCAGAAGAAGACATCAAATGAAAAAAATATTCATTGTCACTTATCATCAGGAAAATGCAAATCAAAACTATAATAAAAAGTTCTTGGAATAATCATTGGATTACACTACCACATAAATTTTTGGAACAATTTTCCATACCTTGATATGAAGATGCCTCACCATACCCACTAACAAAGTTCTAGAGCAAGTCTAAATAATTTGAGTCTATAAATATTTCTAAAATATTTTAAAAGACTATTTTCTCAGTACCTTCTATTGTATACTTAAAAAAGGAATTTTTATGAAATAAATTTAAGTCAAAACAGTGCTACCTTGCCTAAGAAAATTAGTTATCTTGTCTTCATTTGATTACTTTCTAAAATAGTGACCACTTTGGCAACAGCAATATTCATCTGCTTGAGAAGAAATATTATTCACATCTGTGAGCATGTATCTCAAACACATATTGCAGCATATCTCTGATGACTCACTTCATTTGTGTTTCACAAACATCTTAAAATGCTTCTAAGGTCATTAGCTTCTAGGTGAAGTCAAACTACATGGACAGTTCATTTACTGCATCCAGCTATAAGGCACCAAACTGATTTTCAGCTATGAGATCTTGCTGTACAAGAAGTACAATGTATTTTATGAGATTCTATTTCTACTTTAACTCATATGAAGAAAAGTTGATTATTTTAATTATTACCAGTCTGTAGGAGTTGGAAACACACTTAATATTATGCTGTCACTAAAGCATAATTAAGGGATTTTTTTCCCTTTAGCTGATATTATAAATACTAGCATTTGTCCTAAGTATTAATTTTGAAAAGAAATTTTACAAATTGCAGTAACATTTCCCTTTTGTATAGAAGTGAATAAATGATTTAACTTAATTTCACTTTTACTTTGATTTCAAATCCTTCTTACATGCTTTCATTAAATAACTTAATTTTATCCAAATGAGAACTAGTTCTTCTAACTCCATCTTTGTATCCCTCATAAGCATGTGTTCTTTTGTTAGGCCTACTCAGCCACCTGGTCCTGAATATTTAATTTGAAAAGAATCTCCAGCATCTGGCATTAACTGTCAGTCTCTCTGCATCTGGTTTAGCTATGATCTTTGTATATTTATGTACAGTCTTTTAGCAGACATTTTAAAAAGAAAAAAAAATGTAGGACAAACTAGGAAAAGAGAATGAGGGAAATTAAGCAAAAATCATGTACTGTAGCAGAATTTTTATAGTGTCTGGTTAAAAAAAAAAGGGTCTAAAATTAAATTGATAATTACAGAGTTTCTTTAAGCTAAAATATATTTTTAATGTTTCTATAACTTTTTGAGGGAACATTGATTTACAACACTGTATATAATTTAGGGATATAGGTTCACACCTCATAAGCTATGTGTTTCCACACCATGCCTTCCACAAATGTATACCCAGAATCCTCCACCATAGACCATTGGGCCTCCTTCCCACTCATCCCCTCTCTAGCCTCTATTCTGCAGTCATATTTCTAGAGTTTGTTTTGGTTTAGTTTTGTCTGTTCCTTTTGTTTATTTCTCTGTATTTCATATATGAATCAAATCATCCAGTATTTGTCTTTCTTCTTCTTAGTTCCTTAGCATAATCCCCTCCAGTTCTATGCATGTTGTTTTGGCAAATTTTCATCTGTTTTTAAACTGAGTAGTATTCATTATACATATATGCCACAACTTCTTTACCCACTCATCTATCCTTGGGCACTGAGGTTATTTCTATAATGGCTGCAAATAGTGCTGTAGCGAACATAGGTGTGCAAATATCCCTTTGAATTAGTCTTTTTGTAATTCTTCTAGTGCATTCCTAAGTAACTTCAGATTAGATACCTAGGAATGTTGGATCAACCATCAGATCTGTTTTTAATATTTTGAGCAAGCTCCATACTATTTTCTAGAAGGGCTATCCCTGTCTGCATCCCACCAATACCCTCCCCAACACTTATTCTGGTCTTTTCAATATGGGTCATTCTCACAATGTAAGGTGGTATCCCATTGTGGTTTTGATTTACATATGATGAAAAGTGATGATGAACATTTTCTCATGTTCCTGCTGGACATCTATATGTTTTCTTTGGAGAAGGGTCTATTTTATTGGATAATTTTTGTTGTTGAATATTGTAGATCTTTGATATTAGTCCCCTGTCAAACATATGATATACAAATATTTTCTTCCACTCAGTGGGGCATCTTTTTGTTTTAATGATAGTTTATTTCACTGTGCAAAAACTTTTCAGTTGGGTTTCATCCCATTTGTTTATTTTTGCTTCGGTTTACCTTGCCATTGGAGTCCATTCCCCAAATACATCCCTGAAGTCAATGATGTAGAGTGTTTTGCTTATGTTTTATTCTATGTATTTTTTTATGGTTTCAGATCTTACATCCACATCTCTATTCCATTTTGAGTTAACTTTTGTATGAGGTATGAGACAGTGGTCTAGTTTCATTTTTCTGCATGTGACTGTCCAGTTTTCCTAGTACCATTTGTTGAAGAAAGTTTCCTTTCTCTAATGTATACTTTTGGCTCCTTTGTCATAGATTGTCCATATAAGTATAGGTTTATTTCTGTAGTCTCCAAAAAATGTATGTTAGAATTTAGTGTGATAGATAATATTTTGTTATTTTATAAAGAATATGGTAAGTTGGGCTAGTTTTCTACTTTGGATTATCTTCCCCCCACCATTCAATCTGATGTTAAGCAGACCACTTAGCAATTTGTTTTGGAATCTTTATAGAGCAGATAAATTTAAAGATTTGGGGCTGTTTATCCATAGTAAAGTAAATAAATATAACTCCATGTCTTACCTACCTATGAAAGATGAAATAATTGAATTTCACAACTACGAAATATTAAGACGAGAGTTTTCCTACTACTATAAAAAAATGAAAGGACATTATTCACCACATTATTCACCACTTCCTGAAAGCACAACAGGGAGTTAATTGAG